TTTTGTATTGCGTGATGGCACACGTCAAGCCACGCGTGATTGCTCAGCGCATGCACCTTCCTGCGTAAAATGGCAGTGCTCAGTTCAACGCGTTCGCGTGCAGCTGTTCGACAGCTTCTTCACAGTCCAAGTCCTGTTTCCGTAGCCCATTTCGTTTCAGAGTGGTGGTGTGGTTCAGTTTTACGTTGCATGATATTCTCCTGTTTGAAGCAGTTAGCTGTGGTGTACGCCTTGTAAACTGTGGCCATCGTCTTCTACGTCGTCGACTTCATGAAGGTACGTTCACTTGGGTAGCGTAGTGTGTAGCCGATTTGAGCAGTTTTGCAATTTCTTCTTTCGTATCTACCTGTGTACAAAAATTCAAAAATTTGAAATTTGCATTGTTCGTCTGCATAGGTGTATTGCCGTAAAGGAGGATTTCCCTGGCGAGTACTGCCGAGAAGCTGGCCTTACGACGCAACTGCTGTTGGACGCTGCTACAAGTGAGTTCGATGGAGGCCGTCGTCGCTCCAAAAGGCTGAGGGGTGACAAAAATACACCCGTGTCCAATGGCTTGGTACTTGAGCTTGCAGCGTTCATGACCAGCAAGAAACTGCCGTGGTCAGCCCTCCATACCTGGCTCTCAACGGTCGAGGAAACGTTGCTGTCCTGTACTGCGAACGCCCTCACTGCCAAGGTGAGACGGCTTCAGGCAGCCAGAACCAAGCTGCTCAAAGCATCCGATCACAAGTCTCTGTCCACACTCTGCAGTGAGGAATTTGCATACCCTCAAAGCCAAACACGACCAGAGCATTATTCTGGCACTACATCTGTGCATGCGTGTAGTGGTGGTACTACTAGTAGTGAAGATGGAATGGGTGATGTTGACCGAAATACCAGTGGCAGTGAGATATGTTCTGAAGCACAGGGTGAAGGACATGCAGTGGATGCAATGCAAACTGAAGACTCAGTTACCTTGCAGTTGCAGGATAGGTTGCATGCTTCACAAAGCAAAATTCGGAATCTTGGGAAGAAATTACGCCGCCGAGATGACCAGTTGATCAAGTATGATGACCAGTTGGCCAGGCTTGGTGAAAGAGTGGAGGGGGAGGAGGAGAGCAAGGAAGATTTGGAAGAGCAGTTGGGCAGTGCATTAGAAACAGTCGAAACCCTCAGGCGTAAGCTCAACAATGTGTACTGCAGAGTTTCATACGAGAAATCTAAGAGCTCCAGCACAAGTTCTGCCGTGAGTGACGTGACAGAAGAGCTTCTTGCTTGTGGGCAAAGGGAGAAGGAACTAAAGAGAACAGTGAGTGCATTACAGGCTGAGTTAGATGTGGAACGGTCCATGCAGCAGTGCCAGCACATTACAGCGAAGGTGGATGGTGAATACACACCAGAGGTGCGTCAGTGCTGCTATGACCTCCTTGCAAAGAACGTGGGTGTGTGGAATCTTGGGTCTGTGATACGTTCAGTTTTGCGCTTAGCAAATGTGGGAATTTCGGAAGTTCCATCTGCAGCTACTGCCTCCAAGATGTTGGTAGAGTTACGGCAAATTTCACAGTTGCATGTAGCTAGTACCGCTTCTGATGCTCAGTTCACAACCAGCCACAGTGATGGCACGTCGAAGCAGGGTACCAGCTTTCAGAGCTTCCAGCTGGCAACCAATGAAAAAGCATACAGCCTGGGTATGGTTGAAATGAAAAATGGTACAGCCAAGCATGTGTTTGAAATGTTCAAGCAAGTTCTGGGTGACATTGACAGTGTAGCATCTGCTTCAGGCCAGACCGATGTAGCAAAGCACATTGTAAAGAACATGAAGAATACAATGAGTGACAGGTGCGTAGTTCAGAAGTCCTACAACGTTCTATTGGAGGAATACCGCAAGGACATCTTGCCTGATGTTGTGGATGGTTGGGAAGAACTCAGTGAAGATGAGCAGGCTACCATGGGAAGGGTCAACAATTTTTATTGTGGTATGCACTATATTGTTGGCTTGGCCGATAGCTGCACAGCTGCTCTGAAATTGTGGGAGGTTGCACACTTTGGGAAAGATGTCCGAGTTGGTGCTGAACTTCTCCATGGCACGTGGCAAGGGAATGGTGGCGTTGCACGGCTCATCTATTCAGCTTCGAAGGCATTTGAAAGGCATGGCGATGAGGCTGCTGGTTGTGTGGCTGACTTTCACGCGTTTCTGTCAGAAACCAACACCAAATTGCCCCTGGAGGAGTATAGAGGAAACAGGTCATATGTGGTGTTCAGGAATGGTGCTGGTGTGTATTACCTGCATGAAAAAATGTTGCATTTTCTCACGGAGGTAACTGTGAGGGATAACCAGTTGTTACGTGCCGTGAAGGCTGATTTGGGTGTGGCAGAGTTTGTGGCTGGTGCTAGAGCGCTTGGTCTGCTGTCGAAGCTGGTCATTGGTCCGTTGTGGTGCCTGCTGGAAGACCCGAAGGTGTCAATTCTCGAGGTCAGCAAGTACTACACTGAGCTGAACAGCAATCTCCTGAAGTGGTCTACTGACGCAAGCAACCTGTTAGATGGCAGTGCTCGGCCATTCTCCGACGCCAAAGTGTCCGTCGTCTGTGATGTCTACACCGCGCTTGTCGAGCCATCGGAGGTTTCTGATGCCCTCACTCTGGAGATTCTAGCGTACCTGTGTTCTACCCTGGCAGCATTCACAACACGACTACTGGCGGATCATCTACCGGGTGGGAAGTACCATCATGCGCCAACACTTGCCACTGAAACTGCTTCGGTACAGAAGACTAATGCCATTAGCGAGCGAGATTTCGCCCAGCTGGATCGCCTGAAACGTGAGAAACCGAATGCGGCAACGGTGGCATTGGAGGGTATGATCATGTTTGCCAACAATGAAACAACCGATTGGCTCCGATCTCTGCCACCATCTGAACATGCCCGGCTAGTGGAAGTTGCTCGGTCAACTGCCCCAGCTGCTCGCCAGCAGTTTAAGGACAGAAGGCTAGCCATCCAGCAACATCGTCTGGCGGAGCTGAAGCGCAAACAGAAGGAGAAGGAGGCTAAGCGCCAGGCTGACATTGCTCGCCAGGAACAATTGACGAAGGCCATTGAGCCATACACGCTGTGGACAGGCACGACCAACATCGAGGAGGAACTGGCCAAGTTGACATCAGTCACTCGCCAGAGGGATGCCTTGCGGGCCCAGCTCCAGTTCCGGAAGTTTGTTATTGGGCAGAATTCGGCGAAAGAGCTGTTCTACCTGAGTAGTGGTGGCCGTGTCCTGCCGATTCCAACACTCGTCAGTAACCTGAAGAAGCTGATAGGTGAAAGCACCACACCTGGAGGCAGTGCCACTGAAGCGAGCTCGTCCACTGCCAACCAGTGACCTGCTGTTGAAGGAACCTGCCTACTCCGTCTGTTTATACATTTGTACAGTCAATAACAATTATTTATTCTTCTGTGTGTGTGTGTGTGTGTGTGTGTGTGTGTGTGTGTGTGTGTGTGTGTGTGTGTGTGTGTGTGTGTGTGTGTGTGCCTGCAGTTGGATCCCGGGACGGATACCCTGATGCCGTCAATCCTTTTTCTGCACCTTGTCCTCACCCACTTACTGAGGTGTGGTGAGCCCATAAGTGGGATCATTTCAAGTCCACCCTAGTTTGGGGATTTCAGGGGGTGTCGGCCGTTGGGTGGTTCAATGGCCAATTGAGTCATCTTTCCAAGATTCCTTTTGAGTCTCTCTCCCCTCTCCCGGGGAGACCCACGTGACCAGTTTTGGCAGTGAGCAAGTACAAGTACAAGTGTGTGTGTGTGTGTGTGTGTGTGTTGATTATGACGATGATCTTGGTGCGCCTACACAATGCTCATGTTGTGCGACTCCGCCTTTTAGTCATGCGTGCGGTGATTGTGAATATGATTGGTCTATTTAATATTGCTTTAGTTTTCTTTGCTTCCGCTGAGTGCCCTGTTCCCAGCAAGCCCAGGTCTTCACTTTGACACCCTACTTGTTCCACTGTGCTTTTTGCTGGTGTTGAATTGGACCATGTTGCTTTGCGTTTTCCTGTCAATGTTGATGGCCGGCGCATACTCGCTCTCTCTCTCTCTTGTAGAATTTTTGGTTGCACTGCCATGCATTGGTGAACTGAAGTGCTTTGTAGCCTGCAGCATGTGTTGGTACTGTTGTCCCGTTGCTGTATTACTATTTGTCGATCTGTGGTCTTTAGTACTCCAAGTATGTCGCTTTCTAGTGGACTTCTTGCATTAATCGCTTGGTTGCTATGGTGGTTGCTAAGGCCCATATTTAAAATTTGGCCGTTAAATTTGAATTTTGACGGTAACCCTAGGTTTTGTGGAGGGGGGCAATCAAGCAACTAGAAAATCTAAGCAATCTGAGCTTTTTTTCCCGTTGCCATGCTGGTTGCTATGGACGGCCGAAAACAGTGCATGTGCCATATCCTCAATGTAAAGACTATGCACGTATAGTGTGAATAGCACGGAACTTCAAAAGACCATAACTTTGGTATCCCTTGGAATTTTGACCTGAAATTTTCTCTGCAGTCTTGTAATATGTTGGTCTTTCAGATAAAACAGACCTTTGTACTTAAATCTCTCCCAAGTAAAACCACCTAAACTCCCTATCATTGGTAGATCTAAGGCGCTCGCGATGGTCATCAAGACATCATCACGACATCAGGCAAGCGCCAGGACTCAGGAGTCCAGGGCTCCTCTTTAGGCTCTTATTCACCGCAGCCAGGAATTATTGTTCTCGGTACTGTGTGGTATGTACAGAGTCAGTCGTGTAGTCGGGTAATGGGCACGTACGCACGTGTCACACTCAACTGTTACTTGTCTTTGACTGACTCAGTGACTGTTGAGCCATCCGGGCGAGCTCACCCTAGTGCCTCGCGCCGGGTTACGTGGCAGGGAGCTAGGCAGTAGGCGTTCGATCCGATAGAGTCCGACAGGACTGGAGAGTGGAGTGATGCTGTATCATGTGTATGCTGCCTGTGGCAGTGAGCCATAGCATCGAAGCCAGTGCGATTCAACTGCGCACGGGCGAAAAGGAATCTAGCATCTCTCTTGCAGTTAGATATTCTCTATGACTCGAAACCCAACTTCAGTGTCCTTGTGACTCGTGTTGTTGTCTACGTGCTGTTAATTTTTCCGGCAGGTGAGGTAACTCTGTTCTCAGCCTTGGTGGGTTAACTGTACCCGAATACCAAGTAACGTTAGTTTGGCAAGCAATTTATTTGCGGTTATAGAGTAGCACTAGCTGGAGCTGCCCACTAATTATTTCAGGCTTCAAGGGAATATGAGGTGCAGGTCGTCGTCACTCTTACTTTGTTCATAGAGATTTCCTATTGGACGTACAGCTCTCCCATCTTCGCCTTGGTGGGTCGGGATGAGCTACACATACCCGGCTCCCTATCAGCCTGCCATTGCTAGTGGCAATGCAGGCGCTCAGGCTGGTCATTTGGTGTCTGTCGACTCCCGCTTCGTACAAGGTAAGTATTTAGTTTGACTTTGGTAAAGTTTGGGCATTTGTAATTCTGTTCGCGCTGTTCTATTCTCTAATGATATCAACGATGCGCACTACTTGTGCGAATGACATCGACGGTAGGAATTCGACTGGCGAAAGAGCACTGTGCCACTGAGCGTAGACCTCGTCTGTACTGTGCCCATTGTCATTGATTTTTTTCGGCCTGCTCGTGCTCGGACTGTGCTAGTATTAGTATCAGTGTGCTTTGTTGCCAGTGATGTCGAGTTCCAACGCTTGTCATTGCACTACGCATTATACAGCCTAGTACTGGTGCTCTTACTCCGCACATGCGTGCTACTACCGGTAGATCTAGTGAGTCTGTCCTCGGTGTGGAGAGGGTACATGCTGGGAATGATTGCCCTAAATATTAATTCTCCAACAATATTAATTACTGCTGCTATTGTTTTCTGCAAATATGGAAATTGAATATTTTGCTCGTGTGGAGGAAAAGCGTTTGGTGTGTCGTGGAGCCAGCAGGCAATACCGTAACTTGTCATTCTGCACTGCTAATATAGACTTCTAACATGTTGAGCTCTTGAAGTGGTAAAGTATTTTGTTTCCTGGCATTGGGCGCTGTGGCTGTTTTATATCCGTGTATATTGACTTGTTGTATATTCGTTGTAGACGGAATGCTGGTTTGTGGAGTCTCATTGGTGAGACGATTGATCGTGTCCAGTTTTCACGACGTGCTGACCACCACGGTCCGTGGTCGTCAGCTAAGGACAACGTGGTTGCATTGTGCCACAGCGCACCGTCTAACTTTGCCTCTCTGCTGTTGCAGCACTTCATTGTACAGCGTGGCTTGTGTTCTTACCCACGCTCAGTTTAGCTACGCACGAAAACAAGGAGTGCCTTCAACTCGCTTGCAGTGCCCGGTGGACTCGCAATAATTCCTGGGGGCACCAGTGCTGAGGTTGCAGCCGACTGGCCGCTCTCACGACCGCTGGCAGCATGTATCGTATGTGCTGAGAAACTAAGCTACCGCCGTCCCATACCTGGTCTACCCGCCTGGCGAGGAACTAATAGTTATGCCGCTGGATCCTCTCATCCTGTAGCCACGGGCGGCAAATCCCATTTCATTCTACACTTGTATTACCAGTAGTGTTTTGTAGTGTGTTGTTGAGCCCGGCATATCGGGGCAGAAGCAGGTTTCAGGTACTACAACCAGTTCAGGCGACAGCCAAGCAGTGGATCAACCCTTTCCATACCGGCAGGTCGTCGTTGGTGTGCCGCTGTGCTGCAATAGGTCCATAACATGATGCTAGTGAACCGAATCACAGCGGCCTGATGCAGTGCTGGAGCGTTTGAGTGCTTCAGCCGGACAAGGGAGCGGTGACAACGATCTCAAGCAGAACTTCTTGTGAACTGACTGAACTGACGACGTGACTGCCTGCTGCATGCTACTAGTAGATCTACCCCGTACCCGGTTGATTCCACGCGCGGCGTATGTGTGAGAGCTGTGTGATGACTTGTGATTTTGTGTCTGTGCGTGTCGTGTGCTCCTGCACTCGACGGATACCGCTTGACTACCAATGCCGGTCAAGTGGCCCTCCACTGGAATCGGCTCCTCGACTTGTTCTGATGCAGCAGCCAATCCGTACACGTACACTGCAGCACGAGTTACGAATACGATCTTTTGGTTCCGTGATCACTGATCAGGATACTGAGTACGAGTAGTCATACTACTAATCATTACAGTCATTGGGGTTTGCATGTCCCTTCTTCGGCTGAACAGTTCGGCTGAACAGTTCGGCCTGGCCTGGTCTGGTCTGGTCTGGCCTAGCGCCTGCAGAGTGCAGTGCGCTTTACAGTATACTGTTGTGGGTGCAATGGGTGGCACGAGACCTTGTGCTTGGCTGCGTCGCCGGTACGCAGTACAATCATGTATGTACTGCTTCGTATCTCTTCGTTCACGAGATGCTCGGCTCGCGATCCAAGCCAGTGAACGAAACTCCATGTCCTATCCTCGAGCGACTCGATTAGGTATCGATCACTTCATATCGATGGGCAGCATCGAGTTTACCGGCAATGTCTCCTGATCTTGGATGATGAGCCCATGACATGGATTTGCCTGCTTGCGTCGGCTGGGTTCGTGCGATTCAGCACTTCCTAATTCACACGATCCTTTTTGGATGATGGCCGTAGCTGTATCTCTACCTAGTCCAGCGGAAGGTTTGTTTTCCCCGAGCACACCAGCCACAGCACGTGTGGCGTTGTTGTAGGCCTACCCTGTGTAAAACGAGACATGAGACAGAGCGTAGTTCCTACTACTAGCTACTGGTGACCTAGTTCTCACAGTATGGTTGTGTTTAATTACTAGTAGTAGTATGTGATTCAGCGGTTCTGGTCTCGGCGTCGCGAGTCTCGACCACTCTCTCTAACTATATCTAGTCCTCTTCGATAAAAAATAAAAATGTCATCCCACCACTACGCTTCATAGTACTATCGCGGGGGTGAAGAGACAAACAACCACCTGAAGTAACTTACTTGAAGGAATGCAGAGTTTTCTAAATTTTGATTTATTTCGTCGACTTTCACTTCAGTCCCGTGCGTGACCACCAGCATGCAGTGGTGGTCCCACGCATCCATTCGTCAGTTGTAGACAGGTCTCCATGTAGATCTGCACTATGACTATGACAGTATGAGACCATTTCTGCGCGACTCCTGCCATGCCAGTCCTGGCCTGGTTATTGCAGTGCAGTGGTGAGGGCTAGGGAGTATCGTTCGTGTACATGTACGTCCACTCTCCACTTATACTTACTATGGCGAAAGTGTGACATAATCGTCATTGGCCGTGACATTTTTTCTTGTGCACCTGAGTCTCAGTGACTGTTTTAGTGTTTATCCCTACTTCAGTACTTGTAATCTTCTCTGGAGCAAAGGTAGGTTACACGGGGTCTACGCTACACTCAGTGGTAGCTCTATCTCGTCCAGTGAGTCGTGAAGGGCTTTCACGACTCCCTGACCTACATCAGTACATGCAGTAGTGCCAGTGGTGTAAATCGCCGTCCGGCCGTGCATGGCACTCGCCCATCTGATTTGTACAATCATGCAGTCTGCGGCGGCGGGGGGAAGTGGCGGACAAGGTCATCATTATTATGAGAAGAGGTCGCGCGGAGTCTACGCGTAGCAGGGCAGCTAGCTCTGCGGAATCCCTTTGTTCTTGACTTGGGCTGGATACCTTGCGTAGATAGCTGCTGTTTATATTTGGCACTGGGCCTGCGCGCTGGTGATGCGTTGGCTGCCCGCATTCCAGGCTGTGGACGCCACTTGTTCGCTCAGTCGTAGCTTCCTGCACTGTTGTCGAGGTTTAATATGGGGGCTTGTTGGACAGCGGCAGGACGGAAGGGAAGCCACTTACTTCTCCGTGATGACCTGTGTAATTTACGTACACGGTGCGCCCCCATTGGCATTGGATTAGCTCCCAGTAGTAGCAAAGAGACGCGTACGTTACGTGTGTCACTCCGCGTGCCGGTGGATAGATCTACCGCGTACCGGCAAGTGGAAAGCACAGCGTGTGTATTGTGTAGTCTTGCTGACTGCACAATCATCAGCTGGGCAGACTGTGTTCTGAAAGTAACAGTTAGTTAGCCTGCATCGCGTGACTGACCGCCCATGAGGAAGTTCCTTTTGAGGCTGAAGTGCATCGCGCGCAGCAGCAGGTATGACTGAGATGGCACTCCGTTGTGCACTGCTTTTGACGCTGTCTTGACAAGTAGGTAAGTACTTGAGCGCCTGAATGAGCCAGGTCCGTGATCAGGGTGATGGAGTGGATTCCCCGCGATGAGAGTTAGTACAATATTATTACTAGTAGGCTGGTGCTGTAGCCTGTGTAGTGCACTAGTATTGGTAGATCTACCTATGTAGTAGATCTACTTCTAGTACCCTGCTCTGGTTGTCATGAATGCTTTTTTGCACTCCTCACTCAGTCCTCTGAGTCTGATCTGCTGAGTCCTCAGACCTGAGTTGGTGTGACGTAATAGTTGGCCAGATGCCATGTTGTGCACGTGAGAGACCAGGGGAGTGAGCGCCTTGAAGGCGCTGGCCTGCTTCCCATCTGTCCAGCCTGTCCATGTGGTTTGGTCAGACCTGTTCTGGTTGTAGTGTATGCCAGCTTAGGTCAGGAAGGAGTAATATTAATAATAATAATTATTGTACAGTGTAGGATGTAGCTGGGTCTCTTCCTGCTCTGACCCAGCCACCTGGTGGTCTGCACTGCAGCTACATGTAGGGTACATGTAAGGACAGTTAGGTGTCAGTGGGTTTTGCACTCTGCATGGCAGTGTTGCAGCTAAGGTCCAGCAGATGGAGGGACAGTTAGGTGTCAGTGGGTTTTGCACAGACTGCAGGGCAGTGTTGATTGCTGCCCTATACTATAGGCTATACCGTAGTCAGCAATAAGTGTATGTCGTCCTGGTCAACGTTAGTACGTTAGTGCTCATATTGGTTCCCTCAGTAGTAGTGAGATGCATTTGTCACTGCATAGATACAATGACCATGGCAGACTGGGTCACAGTGTCGTTGTACAACGTTGTGCTATGTATTGTACCTGCTTTTGGCCTTTTGTTCTGTTTTGTTCTTTGTTGTGTTGTTATCTTTTCACTTCTGCACTCTGCGAATCAGCAATGTATATTTTACTGCTTTTGAGCAGAATGCAGAAGTCACTAGTGCATTGATTTGCATATAAATGTGCAATGTGGATGTGGGGTGAAACGTGCGCTGGTTTGTGAGAACTGTGGCTGGCCATTTCCAGTTCAGGGGAAGACACTTTCCTGTGAGCGTTGATGAGTGAGATGGGCAGGTGCATGACCACTTGTGCCGTGCATGCTGAAAACATCTGCGCTCAGCATGGCAGTGGTATCCTAAGGTGGTACGGCATCTGTCTCTTTCTGTAGACAAATGTGTCCTACGAATGTGTGCGTGTGCGTATGTTTTGTATGGGTTACTGTCCCCGCCACACACCCACCCACCACCATCACAATCTGCATGCGGAGGTCTGGTGTAGCGTTGTCTTCCTCAGAAGCTATTCGGCCATGTCTGGTGACAGGACTCTTGGTATCGCTGTCCGGAAGACGTTTGTTACACACTCATCTCCTTCCCTGTTTGCCAGTGGTGGCTTGATGGGTGGTTTGGTTGTGTGGTCGGTCATTGATCCCAAGGCGTTCTTCACGGTCTGCTGCTATCCTGGAAAGCCGTTGCCTTCCTGAAGACCCCTCTGGTCATTCCTCATGCAGTCTTTAACTTAATGCTGCACTCTGGATAACTGATTGTCTGTCGCTAAAACAGAAAACCTGTCACACGATAGTGAAGTTTTTCTTTCTTATCAAAATATGCAGTCGATAAATTATAACGGGTGGTTTTATCTTCCACGTAGGTCGCAATGGGGCCTCCTCGTTGCCAGACCATACATATGGCCGTGGGCTTATGTGTGTTTGTGTATGCGGACGTAGCATGCGTGGGTGATAGCAGTGGTGGTGTGTATGCAACCAAGGCACACGCCTTGGTTGTGTGTACATGGACACTGTTGCAGAATGTGTGTAGGCAGGGAAGGAGGAGTGTGCTCAGCTGAGTGCGAGTGTTTGTGTGGGTATGTATGTGCACAGTTGCAATAATACTACAAGCTAGAGCCCGATTGGCTTGTGTTGATTGGAGCAAGGCACTGTCACAGGGATTACTCTATGTCGGTCGAGCTTGTGTGATTTCAGTCGGCTTTGTTGCCTTATCACACGTGGCGCGTGCAGTCCCAAGAACGTGCACTACTCCCTTAGAGCCCTGTCTAGACATCCGTCATTGCGAATCCTTCTTTGAATGGTGTCTTTGCGGAGCTTGTCAGCTAGTGGCTTATCGGCTATCTGCGAACCTATGGCCTCAGCTGTTACTTATCGTGCTCTGCTCTGGCCTTTGTGTGAATGCAAAGATGGTGTGGGTTTAGCGTGCGAGACCAGGCGCAGCCACGCATTTGACTACCCTCCTGTGTTTCCTGACTAGATAGTCAGCGTTGTAGGTGGCCCGCGATGAAACCGCACACTGGTGGCACGTGAGGCGGGCACGTCTGTGTTTGTTGTCATTCCCTGTTCTGCTGACCTTCAGCCGTGTGCGCCGTGTGTGTGTGTGCGTGTTGCCCTGTGGCGGTGTGTGTTGGCGTGTTCGCGCGCCCTAAACAGTCTCTTACGCCAGGCGAGATAAGACTCATCTCTACACCTTTGTGTACATATACAATGTGTCTCTGTGTTTTGTCTTGCATCACCGTTCCGAGCCCAAGCCATATTTGTGTGACAGCTGGATGTCTTGCCAAGCGTCCGGGACAATGAGTAAAACGGAGCACGTTTTTAGATAGTGACTGGGCCACGGGCTGTTACAGTATGACAGGCTAAGGCCGACACGAGAAGCACGTGTTGCTGCCTTGAACTAACGCCAGCCGCCTGCAAAAGAATGCCGAGTACTGCAAGAACTGCGACCAGTGAGTGCTATGTGGATAGCTGTCAGTCCCTGGAGGTCTTTGGTCGATGTGGTTTTCCCATATGTCTTGATGAGTTGGTCATGTGCTCAGCGCAGCGTCGGCCCAGGACTTGTCGACACACGTGCGCGGAGTTGCCAGAAATGCCTTGTGCCACCGCGCTCCATCTCTGTCACCACCGTAGCGCCACTGGGGATCATGTAGCGGGACACACCAGGTAAAAATTCCGCTGCTGCCGCGCCGCGCTGGCATTCCTGTCCGTAGTGCAGCCTTTCCAGAGTCGCGTAATGATTGCATTGACCGATAAATCCACTGTGGACTATCACATCGTGGCTTGTAGCATTTTGCAGGCGTTGTCATATCATAAACTTGGGACATATCTCAGTCTACGTGGCAAACCAGCCATGCATTCAATGGATCAAGTCAACTTTGACTTCGTTCTTGCTGTGTAAGCAGCTCATTGTTCCTAACCAATCTGTCTATTATCACCTGTAACAGCTAGTTCGTGTGGTAAATGTGATGGAATCTAAAACAGTTTGCAAAGGAGTAAAAGAGACAAAGTCACTGTTTGTAGAGTAGTGAAAGAGATGAAAATCATTTCGATCAGTTTTGCTTCCTGACATTGATTGTCCAGGACAGAGAAAGGACGGGATGAGACTGATGAGACCGCCATTCAATTTTTCAGATCTACACAGCATTAGATCCATGCCTGCTTTGGTGCAGTGGGTTGTGCACAGTGGGATGTGCTTGCCTATCACCTGTCAAGAAGAAGACATCTACAGTTGTCTGCAGGCAGTTCACAGTGCACTGTATCACACACACACAAAGTGTTTTAGGGTGTTTGTAAATTCATGTGTGTCCAGCACTGTGTCTATTGCCAGCCACCAACAACACTCCTGCTTACCACTCTATTGCTATCAGTAGTCTGTTGCCCTAGTGTGACAGGTTGCTGCTGCTGCTGGGTTAGGCATTGTGTAGGATAATAACCATGGGCCAGCATGCATGAGAGAGACTACACTGATCATGCAGAGTCACAGCACTATTCATAGCTACACATGGTCATGTGCAGGCCACTGGTATTTTGTCATATTATTGTAAGGGCCAAGTAATGTCTGGGCAGTGGTTGTCTAGTGATAGCTGTTATCAGGGGCTGAAGATGTCACATGTTTTCGCTGCTGTCTATGCTAGTAAGGCTGGAGTCATCTGACATCACATTCACATCACCTTCACTGAGGTGACATGTGATGACGCAGTTTGCATTGGACTGGCCTTCACTGTGTCCTCCCCCTTCACAGGACATGTCCTTTTTGCTTCCTTTGCAGTGGCACTGATGTGGGATGGGTGGCATGTTGCCTGTGTTGTGTTGATCAGTGATCTGACGGTAGTTTGTTATTCATTGGTGCCAATGTCTGTTACAGCCCTTCAGTAGATTGTCACTGGTGGTGCTCGCTGTTTCGTACAGCTTCTCTTTCTTCTGCTGGGACACTTGTTGAGTTAGGCCGATTCAAAGTAGTATGACCAGCAATAGGGCAAAGGGTTACGGTGTTTTCCAGTCTACAAGCCACACTTTGCACACTCCTAATTCACCCCGAAGTACAGTCAGTGCCCTGGCTTATACTGCCATGGTCAGTGCCCTGGCTTATAATACCATGGTCAAGTGAATGGTGATGTAGGGTAGGTGGCAGAATTTCGAGACAAAAACATCTGGGTGCGGCTTATACTCCAGTTCGGTCTATGCTCCGGAGAGTACGCTAATTATTGCATTCATAAGTTTGGGAAAGTTGCAAACGGGAAAGTCTGAAGAAAAATTGACTGGCATCACCAGCACTCGAACCAGTGTAATCGTCATCCAAGCAGCGACTGTTCAACATCTCTTCAGACTTCAATTATTATTCTCTTGTATTTTGCCTTGCAGCGGGAGTCGTGCCAACACCTGGCGGCTTCCCTATGCCGACCATAGCTGTGGCAGCAGATCCCAATGGAGTGCAGCAAGCCCAGGCAATACAATGGGATCGTGAGTAGTCAAGTGTGATATTTGTTCTGCTGCCTTCTGATTTTTCGTTATTTGTGAGTTGACTCCAGCAGCGCGCTGTTGATAGTAATACAATAATATAGTGTAAGGTGATCTTTGCAGCTGGACGCGTAGTTAACGCTGTATGGTCGGACCCCCCCCCCCTCTCTCTCTCTCTCTCTCTCTCTATCTCTCTCTCTCTCTCTCTCTCTCTCTCTCTCTCTCTCTCTCTCTCTCTCTCTCTCTCTCTCTCTCTCTCTCTCTCTCTCTCTCTCTCTCTCTCTCTCTCTCTCTCTCTCTCTCTCTCTCTCTCTCGCAGCTGCCACAGGAACAGCGTACGCAGTGCAGCCAACACAGATGGCAGCCATGCAAGCTGGACAGGCTATGCATGTTCAGCAGGGCCCTATCCATGTCCCAAGTGGCCCAACTTACTACCAAATGCCAGCAGCCTACAACGGCCTACCCACCGTGATGGATGCCAACGGGCAGACTTACATTGACCCACATTACTATAATATTGCCCAAACGAGTGGAGCAGCCACGTTTGTGCAGGCCGCTGCACCGGGTGCAATACAGCAAGGTACCGCCATGCCTGCTGGTGCAGTGGCCATTGCGTCTGCACCGCCACATGTACAAGTTACCTCCACGGTTGCTTCGACGACGGCTACCACGGCAATGGCTCAAGGTCCACGCCCCGTAGCCATACCGACCGCAACTGTCACGCCCACTGTTGCTGTTCCCGCAACTGCCACGGTGACCGTGACGCCGGTAGCAACCGTTGGAAACCCGCCTTCGGTAACAACCTCGGCGAGCGAAGTACACAGCAGTGGATTGAAGCAGTGCGATGTCAAGGCTAATGAGCAGGTATGCGGCTGGTTACGCTGTTTCACACCCACAGTGGCATTCTGAAATGCTGCTTGGGAAGTGGATTGTACCATTGCCAATGCACTGTGTATTGTGCAAAGTTGCATATTGGGTTGTTGTGCACAGTTAGATGCTTGCAGTTTCCAGGGGCATAGGCCACCTGGCCCGTGGCATCGGACCATGGGACAATGGGAACTATGTACTCGATTCTGCTCATCTCTCATCTTGATGAAAAACAGTACCTTACTGCTAGGTGCTACCACCGTGCATTCAGACCTGACGGCAGCTTCAATTTGCCTCTGGTGGGGCGATCTCCCTCCGGGTTGGGGTAAACAGTGGGTTGGCCACCTGCCCTCAACGTGTAGGGTTGAAAGCAGGCATGATTTGACCAGATCACATGGGATTGTGTAAGCACGCTTACGTGTGCATATTGAAGTAAATGCCAGTGAATCACACCAACAAGTTCACTACTGCACATGCATGGGTAACATACCTACCGCCTAATCCTTGCTGAGTGGGCACGTGTTCATATTCTGGCCGGGAGATATTTGAATTCGAAAGACCTCAACGAAATCAGGAGAGTTACCGTGTGGGATGGGGAGATGTGGCCGGCACCTCCATGCATGCAGTGCCTTGATAGCCGTGAGCCACTTCAAATGACCACCTGAGTATGTCCTTGCTGTTGAGAGCTGCACTTTTCACTGCTTCATTCAACCCATTCAAATGAGAATCTGGCTGGCCACGGCAGCGGCGGAGCTGGTCCTTCCTGTGCACAATACTTGATGGTGGTTGGTGTTTGCAAGTTAGTTGGTGAAGCCATTAGCTCGATCTGGTGCTTTGCATGAGTGGGGCATTATTTCGGCTGCTTACTGTACGTCTAGAAATGTTTGGTTGCGCTTTCCTCAATCCTTGCCTTCGGAGATATTTTCGTGAATACAAGTTTGTACTCGTGTAGGCATAGGCCGTAGTCACACCAATCGATTAGCATTCGAATTGTGCTAGTTGGAGCAAGTGGTCACACCACGTGAAGCGGGAATGGGAGTTTTTTTCTCATATTGCGCAGACAACTAACTGTGTGCAATGTCCGTTCACCGGCACTGGTAGCTCAAGTAGTACGGTATGGTGCTTTCCAGTATTTGAAAGCGGTTGAAAGCAACTGAGTCGCAAGCCATCCAAGTCTTTCAAAGCGGCTGAGAGCCGAAGTCGGCTGTTTGCACTTTTGTTGGTGAATGTCTTAATGGAATATCTTGCTGTGACTACGGCCTTAGGAAGTTTGGTCGAATGATAACTTAGGATCCTACCAGCGGCCACCGTTGATCATTCGGGGGATAAGCGACAACCAAAAATTTCTTGATGTGTAGGAAGTATTGTGTGCTTCATCTTTTTTGCTTGCTGTAAAGCACTTGTCCAACACGCAAGTTGGTCGCAATGAGGTCATACAGCGCTGGGCGAATGATGTTGCCGTGGCTAGCCAGCATGGGTCCTCTCCGCCACCTGATCCTTGTGATCTCTTTGCACCCATGCAGCAGCATGATGAAGTGGATGGTAAGCAGACGGCCCCGGTACCAGCATCTGGAAAGCGTAAGAGCGAGAGGCAGGACGACGGAAAGACCGGCAAGATGCCCAAAATGGAGTTGCACGCCGCGAAAATGGAGCCGGGGATGGTACCTGGCCACCCGGGCAAGCTGGACGGTGCAGATATGCAGCTTCCTGCGCCACCGGCTCTATTCTCAACCGGCGGACATGCAGCCGCACCCATTAGCCATATGCCACCTGGTAGCAATAAACCGTCTAAGATACCATCCCAGGTGAAAGTCAAGAAAGAAGACCGGACTAGTCGGCCGCCGCATACTGTAGTGTCAATGCCAAATCTGCATGCACCAGACCACCCGGTAGCTGTGGCTAGCACAGCTATGGGTGGATCCATGGTAGCTGGCCCTGCTGCTGCAGCAGGTGTACCTTTACCTGGTGCTGGTGCTCCTCTGCGGTCAGTGGATGATGCGAAGAAATCCTCGCGGGCCAGCCATCGCGTTGACGAGCGCAGGACACCAGACGGAGGACGCAAGCGTTCAGCAGCACCACCTGTCACTTCACCATCGCAGCACATCCAGCAACATGCTGCACAACAGCAACAACAACAGCAACAACAACAACAACAACAACAACAACAACAACAACAACAGCAACAACAGCATGCACAGCAAATCCAGCAGCAGCAGCAGCAGCAGCAGATGTCCCAGCAGCAGGCACAAGCGCTGCAGCAGGCAATGGCCAGTGGTGCACCGTTCATGCTTGGCCCGGACAGTGCACCTGTTCACGTCTACCCATGGATGGTGCCTGGACATCCAGGACAAACTCCCTATGCAATTGTATCCGTGCCAGAAAGCATGGTGGCTTCAATGACAACAGATGCTAGCAGCCGACCCGCTCCCACAACGACAGTGTTCTCCTCTGGAGAAGCACATCCACAAAGTACCGTATCTGTTCCACCTGCCTTGTACGTGGCTGGACCACCTCCACAGGCTGCAGCTTCCGGTGCCCCTGCACCAACCTCTGAGGAGCACAAGAACAGCTTTGGCAAGCTGGACAAGAGAAAACGCTACGAGAATTCCAAGCGTGCCAGTGAGAGCAAGCCTAGTAGTGAGAACCACGCCACCGAGCACAGCCATGCCGAAATGCCTTCACACACCGCCGCACTCTATCCACCCATGGCTGCTGGTCCAGTTCAAGGTGATCCTTCAGTGGCGTATCAGCAGCCAATGTACGCGCCTGCACTACATGCACACCCCGAGCAACATCAACAAGGCCAACAGCAGCAGCTTGTTTCCCAACAACCGGCGCGAAAGTCATCGGAGCGGGGCAAAACCACTCCTCGACCATCACAGACTGAGCAGCAGCAGCAACAGCAACAGCAGCAGCAGCAGCAGAGTAGTGCAGGTCATACACAACAGAGGAAAATGTATGTGGTAACAGCTGAGACAGTGGTGGGCGAGGGAGGTGACTCGGCTGTGAAGCTTGTCCAGCACGTTCAAGAGCAGGGCAGTGGCTCAAATAAGAAGGTGAAGACAAGACCAGGTAAGATGTCTCGGCCTGTGGCAGAGCCACCCGGCTCAGCGGCTGCTTCTGGTGCAACAGCCGCACCAAGGCACACGCCACCACCGGCACAATTACCTGTATCAAATTCTATGCCTTCTGGTTCCTCGGGTCAAGCACGCCAGTTAGCGGCAGCAGGCATGCCCAGGAGGAGTCACCATGGAAGCTCCACTAACCTGGCAGCTAAGCAAGGACCCAGCGACACCAGTCCAGTACAAGTAACACCGGGAGCAGCTGCATCATCTGGTCAAGCTCAGGCGGCGGCCCCTGTGGCCATCGCCGCCCCCGCTGCTGCTGCTGCTGCTGCTGGTGTATCTGCGGGTCCTGCGGGTCCGGTGGCAGCAGCATCTCAATCAGGAATGCCTGCAATGCACGCCTTGCCACCCGGTGCAGTTGCTGCAGCCACCGCCGCCGGCATCGGTCAGGGTGGCCAGCAGTTTGTTTACATGCAGCCCGCTGCTGGCTGGGAGCACATGGGCCCACAGCAACAGCAGCAACATCTCATGGCGTATCCGCAAGTCTTCCAGCAGCCGGGACAGCAACCGCCCCAGGGGCAGATGATCCACCAGCAACAACCCCAACCGCAGCAGGCACAACAACAGCCTGCACCGGCTGGGCTATCGCAGCAGGTTGATCACCAGCAAGCATCACAGCAACAGCAACAGCAGCAGCACATGGCATCACAACAACAACATCAGCAGCAAGCGTACCAAGGTCAACAGGGCAGCAGTTCTCAGGCCAGACCGACAAAGCAGTCCCAGATGCCTCAAGCTGCTGCCGGCTCGGGAACGATGTCAACGCACCATAGGGAAGGATCTCAGAGTCGTACCTCTCTCCAAGGTACTGCACGTCATACAACATCGCCGAATGTCAAGCAATCGTCCAGTGGTAAGCGTGATTCTTCAACTTCCAACTATCCAGCACTGAACACGCAGTCTTCTGCTGCCGACAAGCGTACGGCCGAGAGTGCCCCAGCCCCAGCAGCCCCGGCAGCAGCAGTGGTGGCCAGTGCTGGAGCTGGTGCAAGTGTAGTTGCTGCTCCCGGTGGAGGTGTTCTCCCTGCCGGCGCAACAATTACTGCACGTGGAGCAGATGGACAGGAATATGTTGCACTAGATCCGTCTTGCATGCCTCCCGGCACTATGGTTGCGCCCAATGGTATGCTGTTCACCACAGACGGCAAAGGTCTTGCTGACTGGCAACAGCAGCAGCAGCAACAACAGCAGCTCGTGCAGAATGCTCAAATGGCAGCTGCAGCTTCTGGTCAGCAGGTTGTGGTAATGATGGACGGAGGTCAGATGGTCGGTTTCCAGCCTGGACTCATGCCTATGGTGCAACAGCAACAGCAACCAACGCAACAGCAACAACCTAGTGTACAGGCGACAACTACCACTGCACAACACCAACAGCAGCAACTGCAGCAGCAACAACAACAACATCAGCAGCAGCAGCAGCAGCAACAACAACAACAAACCTTGTCACAGCAAAAAACATCACAGCAATCAAAAGCACAGCAGCACCAACAAACACAATCCCACCAACACCCTCAGCAGCAGCAGCAGCAACAGACACAGCAAGCTCAGGTGCAACATGGGCAGCACAAGTCATCACAGCATGCCTTGCCACACAGCAAGGACACATCGGCAAGTGGGGAGCTCCGTACATCTACATCGTCGCAGCAACCAGGCGTACGTGGCCAATCCAGCGCTGCGCCCACCAGCGCATCAGCTGTCCACCAGGACATGATCACCGCAACAAGAGGTGGTCCAGTTACTGCTTCTTCTCATCAAGCCACACTGGACAAGTCTACAACCAGCGCTAGCGCCGCCATGGCTACTCCAGGGGATAGTAGTGCTCGTCACCAATCCCCGTACACTAATCGCAAGAGAGTAAGGGCAACTGGAGCATCAACGGCCGCCGCTTCTCAAGGTACAGTCTACTGCATGGTATAGCGCTGCTCTGTGTTGGCTGATTGTGCTAACGCTTGTTATGGTGTGGTGTACGCGAGTGCAGGGGTACTCTGCTAGTGTTCAGCTTCGTCCAAGGACTATAGTGTGCTGATTGTGCTAACGCTTGTTATGGTGTGGTGTACGTGAGTGCAGGGGTACTCAGCTAGTGTTCAGCTTCGTCCAAGGACTATAGTGTGCTGATTGTGCTAACGCTTGTTATGGTGTGGTGTACGTGAGTGCAGGGGTACTCAGCTAGTGTTCAGCTTCGTCCAAGGACTATAGTGTGCTGATTGTGCTAACGCTTGTTATGGTGTGGTGTACGCGAGTGCAGGGGTACTCAGCTAGTGTTCAGCTTCGTCCAAGGACTATGTGTGCAGGGGTGGGGGGAGGGGAGTGTGTGTGTGTGTATGTGTGTGTGTGTGTGTGTGTGTGTGTGTGTGTGTGTGTGTGTTTGGTGTGTGTGTGTGTGTGTGTATGCATGTGTGTGTGTGTATGCATATGTGTATTCATGTGTGTATGCATGCGCGCGCGCGTGTGTGTGTGTGCGTGTGTGTGTGTGTGCGTGTGTGCGTGTGTGCGCGTGTGCGTGTGCCTGCGTGGGTGTGTGTGTGTGTGTGTGTGTGTGTGTGTGTGTGTGTGTGTGGTTAGGTGGGTGCGGTGCGGGGTGTGCGTACTTACATTGATGAGATGTGAGGACCAACAGCAGGCATTGCACACTGCCTAAACACTGGTGTTTCACCTATGTGTGAATAGTTTGACATGCGGTATGCCCAACTAACTTCAGGCCGGTCTTCGAGCATGAAATTATTTCCTTTGTCTTGTGGAGTTGTGGTAGACTGGTGGTATTGCATTTGCCCACCGTCCTTTCAGTGTGTTCAAGCAGACAGTACATGTATACATTGTTCACAAGCGATGGTGGCTTGTGATATCAGATCTGCTTCCAGTGTGCATTCCCATTATTATTATTACATTATATCCATGATATCAAGCGAATGGCCGAGGGCCCTCTTGATTGGTGTGAGTTGCCAGTATAATGCAAGCCAGATGTGAATTGATCGAAGAAGGATAGATTTACCATCACTGTGGATAAGAGTCATACTGTAGCTCAGTTGGTTAGAGCATTGCTCGCGAATAGCAAGGTCCCTGGTTCGAGTCCCGGTGGTGTGACTGATGATTTTTTCTTTCTTTCATATCTGGCTTGCAAGTGTTGAGTTTCGGAGAGAAAAGAGCAGTACGTGGCATGTGGCCTCTAATTTCCTAAAAACTTTGAAATTCTCCGTGAAGTCCAAATTTGAAATTGCAATTATTATTATTATTATAATTTATTATGTAATACATGTATGTATCGACGTCTTCTATTTGTTTTTGCTGTAGACTTTACTTCAGATCAAGACCCTTCCACTGCCAAAGGTGAGAGCTGGTTCTCTTGTCTTCTCAATATCTGTGCAAATGTGTATCACAATTGAACAGTGACAATATTATCCTAGAGCTTGGAAGCGTGTTCTTATTGACCGCATAAAAAGATGATGCAAAGAAAGAAAAGCACTCAAGCACTGCAGCCGGGAGGCAAAAATAAACTCAATCCGTAGCCTAGGCTCAATGAGGTCGTGCATTTCTACAAATTTCAAAAGGATCCAAGTAGTAAACCAACAAACCTCCCATCAACACAATGACAGCCAGAAACCAAAACAAGAGAACGAATTCAAATATTACAAAGCAACAGCAAAAATAGAATAACAACACAGTCTTCAAAAATGGAAAAAGCCATTCGATAGACAAGTCCAGTTACTGCACGCGCGACATGTGCGCCAGTGCGCGGCACTCGGTTACGAAACCATGACGGCCTGCACTGGACACACCGCAGGAATACGATGATCTTGACCCCCGGATTAGGGAGGTATGAATCCTTGATCGCAGGTGACAAAGGACAAGGGCGTACTGAAGATCCCAATTCTTGTCCGCTACACGGGCCGCCAGTGTCTTCAGAAATCTGCTGCACTCCGGTGCACTCTGACCGTTTGCTGCAAAATCCAGAGGGGTAAATGACCCTCAGGCTTGATCTCAGACAAGATGTCTAGCTGCTGAGATCGGCGTCGGCCACGAGCCTGAACTGCCAATGCCTTGCTGGTTGAAATTACGTCGGCGACACGGCGCTCTCCCAGATCGACCACCACACCCGTCACCATAGGCTCCGTCGCATCGCAACAGAGCAGATGCTCAGCCTCGGCAGGCACACTCCCGATTCGCATAGCGAGACAGCCATTTCTTAGGGGCGCTGGTAGTAGCTGACGAAGCGCACCGTCAGCGCACCGTCAGGCCTGAACGTGTGGCCAGTCAGCGCCGTCAGCAGATCGTCATTGATGGCCTTGTCCAGAGGTGAGTACACGACTGGGTCGGCAGGGACCACATGCTGTAGAAAGGTCCACCGGGATTGCAGAGACGCAACAAAAAGGCGATAAGCCGCCTGCGGTTGCGTCACAGCCAAGCCAGCAAGGCGCTTCACCAGCCGACACATACCTGAAACCCGGTCCAGTACGAAGTTATTTTTGAAACTGTTGGCTGCCAATAGCTCCACCCAGATACCGCACACCGTCAGTCTGGATTCTGACGCCTGTGCCAGCAAAAGCCTCCTGCGCCTCAGCCAGCAGATGCGGCCGGACAAGCATTACAGTTTTTGGCGTTGGGGTACTAACCGGTACTGAGGGCTCTAGAGCTGCTTGAAGTTGCCATCACCGTTTCTACCATTGCTCTCCTCAAAAGTCTATGGAGAGGTCAGCTTGGAAGCAGGACAGCGGCAGGTGACATGCAGAAAACGATTGACCTGTGACACGGTTGCTCATTGATAGCATAATTATGGGATGTCCATGATTTCTTTCATTTCAGAACTTAGAGTGAATGTTGACTTGATGACCGGGAATTGTGAGCTGTGTGACTAACTGCTCTGTTTCTACTGATTGTGATCGTTGGCAATTACTTGGCAGATTCAAGTACGAGTGGTGGCTGGGCAAAAGGCAGTGGGCGTGATACTTCCACAACCACCGTCGCTGCTGCCGCCGCCGCAACTCACTGGTATGGCAAGGGGGCAGGCAATGTACCTGTACATCAACAGCAGCAGCAGCTGCCGCCCTCACTGCAGCAGGACGGTGGGGATTGCGAGTATGGACCGATAATTGACCAAGCTGCATTGCAGCGCTGTAATGACATTGCCACATCTGGAGACGCACGAGGTAATGCTATAGAAAGCAGATGCAGTACTCCTTCCTTTGCGGTGGTGACATTAGTTCTGGCTTCAACTATATATTACACTTGGGCTATAGCATAAAATGGACACAGCCTCCACCACCGTATTGCCTGACCGATCCTTTCAATGTTCTTATCTTTACTTTTCTACCTGGACTCCTCCTTGGTTTCCCCTTTCTCTCTAGCTCTTCTCTTGTACCTTCTTGCTATTATTCACCTAATGTGGGGCTTTGAATAAAACAAGTCAAACAACCACCACCACCACCACGAGGATTTTTTCCGCAAATTCCCGCAGGGAAAGACCACCACCAACAACGACAACGACAACAACAACCAACGACAACCATTGACAAACAACAACCAACAAACAATGGAAAACCAAAGACAAACAATGACAACGAACAACATGCAACTACAAAACAACCACTCTTATGTTGAATGCGGCATATCCCCACAGGCTCCTGCACGCCTTTTGCCAGGAGGCCCACGATCAGTATCGTGCTGTTGCAGCCCTTCATTGAAGTTTGCATTCACGGTCGTTTGTGAATACAGTCATGCTTGAGTGCCTGCACATGATGGTCGTGGGGTGTGTGTGTTAATCAATTAAACGTGGACATTCTTCCATCCCTGTGTGCGTGTGTGTGTGTGTGTGTGTGTGTGTGTGCGTGTGCGTGTGTGTGCGTGTGTGTGTGCGTGTGTGTGTGTGTGTGTGCGTGTGCGTGCGTGTGCGTGTGTGTGCCTGTGCGTGCGTGCTACAGAGCCGCTAGCAAATCTCTTCATGCAGCATCAGACTGCGTTTCAGAAGGTGAACAGTGCGGTCACCGTTCCAGCAAACAGTTCAGCGGAGGTGAGAAGCGAAGCCATGCTACATGTTCAGCAGTGTCAGCATGCGTACACCGAGGAGTTCAAGCGTGTCTTCGACACCCTGAGGAAGGATATGGCAGGAAAGACGGTGAGTCTCTTTTTTGTTTGTTTTGCGTTTTGAGGCCAGTTGCACTCTTTTGAGCACATAAAGTAAGCAAAGTTTGCATGTTACCACCAGTTTTCAATTGTGTTGAGAAACACAAGTAGCTTAGAGAATTTTCACTCGTAGCAGGCCACCGCATGCCTGCCTATACCGGGGTGGTAGTTACAGTGCCTAACGGCGAAGAGTGAGGTGGTAAATCTCACAACAAATACCAGACAAGGGGGCAAACCTGGTTAGCTGCATCCATGTTGCATGTTACCCTCACTCCCACTAGCGAGTACCCAGTTGACCGTGCACGTCGGCGCAGTTCATTGCAAGTTAAGTGGTTCACGCATGCATCACCGCATTTGTTAGCACAGTACACAGGGCATCCCTAGGGACCTGCAGACAAGCCTACACTACAGCTACTCCGCCGCGTTTAGCACATGTATGCTGGTGTTGTGGGTGCACTATGGCGAGTACTGGATATTGCCTTCACACAATCCATCTTAACAAAGTCATTTTGTGCAAGTGTTGTTGGTTCGCTTTGAGTCAGCTAAGTGAACCTGGTGATCTTCGTCTGTTACTAGTACCCAACCATGTTGCATGGTTGCAATCCAGCCCATGAAAATACACCAACTATCGTGGGTTCACCTACCAGTACACAACATAGCTTGCACTGGAGCACAGTAAACCTATCACCAGTGTTCTTATCATACTATAATTATGATTTCTGTTGAATGTTGTTCCCAAATTATGAGTGACGCCAAGTTGTATAATGTTCCAGAACGCCTTCCTTTTCAAAATGAATGAAAAAATGCGAGGAATTTTCTGTCCTGCTTGCTTGTGTTTGTAGCAACCTCCTCCATCTAGACAAGAGTTCCATGCACCTCATGCAGGGCAGCAGAAAGTACAAGGGATACCGCAGAAGAATGACGGGCATGTCGGGGGGAGCAGCGCCTCGGCTAGCGCTGCACACCCCGCCGCCAGTAAGAACCCGTCGTCGTCGTCCGCACATGATCCTGACAGCAAAGGCCAGCAGCAGCATTCCAAGCCCGAACGGCACGGCAGCGCTGCTGGCGCTGTGCCCGGTGAGCACACGACCGAGACCAAGTCCGCGAGTGGCCGTCACTCCGGCAAGCTATCCGCTGCCGACTCCGGTGCGGCTGCCGCAGTAGCTGCTATGCCAGCCCACAGTATGGCTCAGGGCTACGGTCCAGGCTGGACAATGTCAAGTCAGCAGTGGCAAGCGCAGCTACAAGCCAGTGGTGGGGCAGCTCAGTTCGCCGTCGGTCCTGGCCCACCGGGATCTGTTGCTACACAGGTGTATGTGACAGGCACAGGCACAGGGCTGGTCACCACCACAGCAACAACAGCAGTCACAACTAGTAAGTGGGTATTGGGCTGCGAGAAAGTGGTGCTACGGGCTAGCTTAGTACTATTTCTTCTCTTCAAACTGTTGGCGGATGTGCCATTGACTGGTTGACTGGTTGGGTATGCACTAGAACTTAGCTGTTTGGTATTGTGGATCAGAACGAATATTTGTTTAGGAAAATTGCTGCCATCCGAACGGTTCATTGTTGTTAACATGGTCCTACTTTTGTGTGCACTCCGTGGTCTGTTGTGTGTGGTGTGTTCTGTGGTTTGCGGTGTGTGGTGTGTTCTGCGGTGTGTGAAACTACTCTGTCCGCCAACCTTCACCGTGCACAGCTGCCAGTGGTCGTGAAGATATGCCCGTCATTCCACCCATCGCAACCATGATACAGGTAAACAGCAGTCTTTTCTCCATTTCTCTCCTTCAAAGTCGCTGTCTCTCTCTCTCTCTCTTTCTCTCTCTTTCGTTCCCTCTCCCTCTCCCTCCTACTCTCCTTCTTTTGGCTTGCTGACTTTGTTTCTGCCTATCACATGTGGGGAAATAGCTTACTCTTTTCTTTATCAAAGGTGCAATAACTGTTGATTGGAATGTCCCTTGCAAGTGCTATGAGATGCTGCCCTGCGTTGCATGATATCAATGGTGTAACTGACGCTCTTGTTGATATGTGCTGCTGTGGATGCCCATGCAGCCCCCGTGGCAGCAGATTGGAACTGGACCTGATGGCCGAGTGTGGCCAGTCCCCCCAGGCGCAGCCATGCCACCGGGCACACAACCTGCAGAGCGTGGTAAAGTGGTTGACAAGTCCGTTCTTGCTGGCGCCGAGGCTTTGCTGGTGATGTCTGCTACAATACCGCAGCCACAACAGCAGCACCCGGAACAAACGGCGCACCATGCACATCATCAGACTGTACCCCCGTCACAAGCGCAACAGCCATCACCGTCTTCGAAGGCAGCAGGTATGCCGTGTGCTGTGTGCATGATGCGTGTGCGTGCCCTGTGTGTGCGTGCTGTGTCTGCATGCTGTGTAGCCGCGCTGTATGTGTGTGTGTGTGTGTGCATGCTGTGTAGCCGCGCTGTATCTGTGTGTGTGTGCATGCTGTGTAGCCGTGCTGTATCTGTGTGTGTGTGCATGCTGTGTAGCCGCGCTGTATCTGTGTGTCTGCATGCTGTGTAGCCGCGCTGTATGTGTGTGGTGTATGTCCCTAATGTGTACCATACTCGCTCGATTAGAAGCCCCTCTTGAATAAGAGCCCCTGCAACGACTGTTTGAAACATTCCAAGACCCTCTGGAATAGAAGCGCGTACTGTTCATGTCAAGGCATGACCCGATGGCTGTTGTGCTAGTGATGCAATTCCTGCATCTGTGGTGTGACGCGGCATGCTCTTTGCCTTGTTTCACTATATGCGCAGGGGATTCCGCCGGCAATCACATGCTGATCCACAGTACTAGCAGCGCTGCAGATCCGGAAGCCCACTTCAAGCGAGCCCTGGCGACCTCATTAACTAAGCCGTCCTCCTCGGCATTGCCAATGACAATGGCATCGCGGGTTGAGAATCCCATGACTGTGGGAATGACAACAGCAGGTGCTACAAGCACCGCGCCATTCCCAGTGGCACCTCTCAGGGAGGCGTCTGCACCAGTCGACGACGACGAGATGGACGACGTCGATGTTGTCGGCGATATCGATGGTGAACCACCACGTATGTGCGATCATCACCACACATACATACACACCTACACAAACACATGTACACACACACACACACAACATGCACACGCATGCACACACACACACGCACACACACACACACACACACACACACACACACACACACACACACACACACACACACACACACGCACACATATGCACACACATGCACACACATGCACACACATGCACACACATGCACACACATGCACACACATGCACACACATGCACACACACACACACACACACACACACACACACACACACACACACACACACACACACACACACACACACACACACACACACACACACACACACACACACACACACACACACACACACACACACACACACACACACACACACACACACACACACACACACACACACACACACACACACACACACACACACACACACACACACACACACACACACACACACACACACACACACACACACACACACACATACATACGTGTGCAATGGTGCTAATAAGTAAATCTTGCCGTACGATGACTAGTAATTGATACGTTTCAGCAATGCCCGTAGTCTGATGCACTTCGTCTGATTCACAATCTTCTGCTTTGTTTTTCATGTTGTCTTCAGTCATGATGAAGGCGTGCGTGAGTGCAAGTGAGGAGGACACACCTGATAGTCGAGTCCTGCCACAGGTCCCCTCCAAACGACCAGGCGCGGCGGCAAAAGCGACTGAACACACTGCGCCAGTCGGCAGCACATCTCAGGCCGTCATGCCTGCCACCAGTGGAATGCCGGCGGTGGCGGTGGCGATGAGTTCACACGATTCGAAGAAGTCGGCTTCTGCGGGGACGACGATGGACGAAAGATCTACAGCTGTGCGGCCAACTGAAAGTAAGGCAGTGGCACCAACACATGCCGCTATTTGCTACTCCCCGGTTGAACAGGAACAATGTGAATGCCATGTTCGAAAACATTCATTGGTTTTGAAGAAGAAAGATACATGTCTATTTTATGATTCTCACCCATGCATGTGCCCAGCCTTGTATGATGTCACGATACTGGTTTGGTGGTAAGGCATGTCGTCGTCAGCCATTGGACGTCGTCAGCCATTGGACGTCATCAGCCATTGAACATCATCAGCTATTGGACATCCTCAGCTATTGGACATCATCAACTAATGATCTGATCCAGGGTCCATGGGATGGCATGAGCAATACCAATAGCAAACGGCGACCACGACAGCGTTGGCAATGGTGACAGCAGCAGAACCAGCAGCAGCAAACAAACAAACAAAAATATTGTGTGCCTTTATCAGAGGCCATGGAGACTATGTTTGAATTCTAATTTTCCCTTTTTTGCAGGTGCTAGTCAACAACAGCAGCAGCAGCAGCAGCAGCAGCAGCAGCAGCAAGGTAAAACAATTGGAGGCCGTCAACGGGGACAGTCCCGACCCATGCCTTCTACAACATCACCTGCACCAGCAAGAGAAGCTGATGGCTCCAGGTCATCTTCACACTCACCTTCAGATCCTCCCTCCAAGTCGCTAACGCCGAGGAAAGGAAAAGCATCTGCACCAGCAACTGCAGTGGCAACGGCGGCGGTAACTGCGGTTGCAGCGTCCAGTACAGCAGCAGCAGCAGCAGCACCATCTTCTGTATCTGCAGCCCCTGCTGAGCCCGTTTCAACTAGCGCTTCGCTTCCTGTCCCCGCCGCACTGGCCAGTCTATCTACTGCACCTGCTGCCGCCGCTCCGTCTGCGCCGGAAGGTGCTGCGGCAACACCGCTGGCCACGACAACAAGTGCTGATGGTGATGCCGTTATGCAGCGCAAACTGGATGAAATGTGCCGTCAGATGGAGGAGAAGCAACGTGAGGTGGAAGAACTGCGTGGTGCTCTTACTCGTCGCCAGCAAGCGGAAACCTCTACCAAGCGTAAGAGATGATACATATTCACGTAATGTAGAAGAGATCTGCGAGTGTCGCAATTCCTTAGCACGGGTCCTGTGGCAATGGGTTCTGATTGATTCTAACGACTTCATACATATTCACGTAATGTAGAAGAGATCTGCGAGTGTCGCAATTCCTTAGCACGGGTCCTGTGGCAATGGGTTCTGATTGATTCTAACGACTTCTTGGCACTGAGGGGTAAGCAGTTAGGAAGTTTAAGCTTCAGCCAGGTATTGTCAAATTGAGCCAGGTTCAACATGGCCTCTAATGTGTGGAGTTGAAGGTCCGAACCCCCCAGACCCAAATTCTACAATCAAGAACTGAGGTTTTCACCACTAGTATGCGGTCCTCATTTAGATTTGAGGCCTGCAGCTGAAGTATTTGCGGAATGTGCTGTACACGGAGTGGATGTCTAGAAGATTCACATGCCGAGTATGGTAGCAGCATGGCTGTAGCCGCACACCTTGAGCGATTTGCCGAGGCGTCAGAACCTTTCTCATGTCGATGTTGATGTCTTGCTCCTTTCTGTGTTGTTGATCAGAGCGCAAGCGTGCACATCACGAGAGTGAGAATGACGGATCGGACAGCAGGTAAGCGCGTGCCATGATTGCTTCAGTCTTCAGATGAGTCCGGAGTGCACCGGAATGGGACGGTGTTGCGTCATACCTACTATGCATGAGAGTGGAGAACTCTTTCATCCGCCTGGTCTTCAACATCCTTTTCTGGTCTTTCTGCGTTTGTGTCTATTGTGTTTCAGTGAGGAAGGGCCTGCTGCCTCTGATGTACCCGTTTCAAAGGTAAGAGCAAGCTTCAGGTCACAGTATCCATTCCTTTTAGCAAGGTAACAATAACTGTTATGCCAGTTATCACCCAGGAGGACAAGTAGTTTGAATGGCTGTGTTTGTGATACAAGTCCACATGCTTCCAGCGCTTGGCTTTGTACTCTGAGCCTGTCTGCTTGGCCAGCAATTCCATTGCATCGGCATCTTTTCAATCATATTGTACTGCGATGCTTGCTCACGGCGTGCATGCTCATATTTATGCTTTCTCCTATCATGTCCTTTTCACAATACAGGAGGGGAAAAGCAAGAAGCGAAAGAAGATGTCCTCCAAGAAGGAGCATCCCGGTGTTCAGGTATGTCTTCATAATGTCCTCCGGTGGTTATGTACCGCAGATAGCCATTGAGTATTCTCCCGGCACACTTTGCTTGCACTATGGACTGAAGAACTGCACCGCCAAACCCACGGTGTACGTGCATCAAACTTGTATCTGCAGCAACGTGTTGGAGTAGTAAGATATTTCTTCGCCTTTTTTTGTCTATTTGCAGTCAAATGAGTGTTCGAATGCTTCACGGTTCTGTGAACGTTCCTAGTGTCATTTCTTTGAGAGTGCCCACTATTGCCAATGTTTATGTACAAAGGCCTATGGAATAATATTGACCAAATGGTTAGGTGTCGAGAAAGTGTCACGACCCGTGCTCTTGGTATGTGTATTGTTCTGTAATGCAGGGAAAGTCGGAGAAAGGCGATACTCCTGTAAGTATCGATCTGTATGGCTGTTTGTCTCCTTTTCTCTTAGTCTTTCCTGTCTGTTTATGTTTATGGTTGTTTGTCTGTTTGTCAGTTTATCAGTCTGCCTTTCCTCTCTGTTTTTTTTCTTCTTCTGTTTTTTTTCATGATTTTCCTGTCTCCATGGTCATGTCACACAATCACTGACCGTTTGATGAGCGTTAGCATGCTAACGCGAGTTAGCAGCCAGCCCAGCGAGCTGGCCCAACCTGCACGCATGCGCGAGTCACGTGGGCACGCGCCCTTCAATATCCTGTACAATGTCTCTTTCATGTCATTGCTGTTTGGACTTTCGAGCGTGCAACTTGCGGAACAGGTGTTCCCGAAACAATTTCCTTCCCACCCTCCCACCCACTAGCTCAACTCATGTTTCTGGCGCACACATGACGGTATCTGTATAGTCCATGGGAATATATGCTCTCAACTGGTTATGCATCTCTATATATCTAGCATTTGGCGGCTCTATTCAGAGTCATTGGCGGCTCCATGCGGAGGCATTGGCGGCTCCATGCGGAGTCATTCGGCGGCTCCATGCGGAGTAATTGGCAGCTCCATGCGGAGTAATTCGGCGGCTCCATGCGGAGTCATTCGCTGGCTCCATGCGGAGTCAATTGCCGGCTCCATGCGGAGTCATTCGCCGGCTCCATGCGGAGTCATTCGCCGGCTCCATGCGGAGTCATTTGCCGGCTCCATGCGGAGTCATTCGCCTGCTCCATGCGGAGTCATTTGCCGGCTCCATGCGGAGTCATTTGCCGGCTCCATGCGGAGTCATTTGCCGGCTCCATGCGGAGTCATTCGCCTGCTCCAAGCGGAGTCATTTGCTGGCTCAGCTGCGAGCCATTATACCAGTTGCTCGAATCGGCACTCCCAGCTTAACCCTTTAAGAGCCACAGGAAAATTTCAAAAATCTGCATTTTTTCATGTTCCTCGGATCATAGCTTCAGTTCTACTCACTCAATCCTCACAATCTAGGGCTTCCTGGAAAGGTATTCGCGAGAGGAAGAGAATGAGGTCGATCATGATAGCCAGCACACCGTCTATCCAGCGCTAGATCGCAGCGACAGTACGAAAAATGCCCCAAATGCGTCCAATTGCGTCCCGCTCCAGATATTTCATTCTACTCGATCGTGGAGTTCCAATTTTTTTGCTGTGTACCCTTGACAATATCAACAGTGAAACCCGTGCAAATTCGAGTAAACCAGCGTGACAAAAAGTCTCAAAAATCTCAATACTAAAGTTGCACTGCGCGCTTTTGAAATTGCCGCGATCGCGGCTCAACTTACGAGTGATTTATCTCGGGAACCGTTGCTCGCAGCGCTTTGCGGATTGTTTCTCCCGACAGGTGAGAGTTTTCTCTTCGCCCTGGATATTTCGATCGATGGATTTGAGCGAGATTAGACTGAGTTACGATCTTTTGAAGTTTTGCATTTGAATGCGTCGTTTACGACGCATTCAAGTATGGGGCGGCTCTTAAAGGGTTAATGCAAAACTCGGTTGCTCTGTTGTGAGGTGGGGGGATGCTAACCGTGTTTTACATGCTTCCTCTCTGTGTTCATGGCCTGTGTGCGTGTGCGTGTGCGTATGGCGTCAGCAGGCTCAGCAGCGTTCTAAGCAGAGGTCCCCGAAGAAAGCAGCAGCAGCAGCACACGAGGAGCAGGAGAGCAGTGCGGCAGCCTCGGCGGGTGATTCAGCCTCCACAACAGTCCACGCCGATCACAAGCCCCACAAGCACAGCAAGGAAGACCGCTCACAGAGCAAAAGAAACAAGCACAACAAACACAAGAAGCTCAAGTCAAAGGAGAAGCGCCTGAAGCAGCCATCCGCAGACAAAGCGAGTGCCGAAGGTGAGTTGCTATTGCAGTATTATATTCACTATCATGCATGATAGTTATGATGTAGGCCTTGGGGGTGACTTAATCTTAGTATTCACTGCATTAAATGTAGCACATTGCCACTTTTTGTTGCATAGTAAATGTGAAATTACAATCTAACCACCAGTGTGTACGACCTCTGAATCAACTTCCAGTATAGCATTCAAGTATGCTCAGCTTCGCCTCAGCTCGGTTTGTGTTCAGCCTATTGTACGTATAAACCTGTTAGGTTATTTTGTAAGTTATTTTGGACATGTGAACAGCCTGGAAAGTCCACCTGCCAAGTATAAGCCTGAGCACAATATCGCTTCATATGCGTTTGTTTGCCTCCACTCAGGAAAGTCTTGCGAAGTAAAGTCTCAGAGCTCCCATGAGGTATGTGTGGTGCCGCAACACTGATATCGTTATCGTTATTGTTGTTGTGCAGTTGCTGAAAGAGAGTTGGGTAATTTGCAAGTCTCTGGCCGTTGCCTTCCTTATGCATCCTAGTGTATGCATTCTAGTAGAGAATCGGTTACAGGACGCAGCTGAAAGCAGTGAAAATAATAATATTATTATGTTCCCCTTCTTCCATTGGATTTCTCCATGGCTTTTGATGTCCGATATTTTATTCCTTAGCTACAACTAGTATACTGTCAGTCAACAATATTTTATTTTCGGCTATTTTCGGCCTGGTCATGTTCGGCCGAACATTTGTTGCGGCCGAACATTTTGTTTTCCATTCCAATATTCAGTGTGACAGTATAATTATACAGGCGGCAGCAGTATAGGCGGAAAATTTGATGCGGCCGAAATGGGTTTTAGCCGTGGGAGGCCTAAATTTGAATGGGCTGAACATTTGTAGACATACAGTACTTGGTGTGTAGTGTTAACCGTGCTGATTTGTCTCTCCTGTTTTCCGTATTCTGCTTTAGAAGCCAGTGCCTGCTAGTGTCGCTGGCAATGATGTCACCGGTGATGTCACCGGTGATCAGGATGACGATGAGCAGAGTGTGGGCAATGAGGAGCAGATCTCACCCGTCTATTCCCGCCAGCAGCAGCAGCAGCAGAAGCCTGCGACTGTGGTAGGCGCTCAGACTAGTGCAGCGCGATCGACCAGCCCCCCAGTCCCTCGCTCCACTCAGCAGCCAGCTGAGCTGACCGCAGCAATACCAGGTGCGGTTCCATCTTCTTCCGTGCTTTCATCCACTCCAGCGAAGGAAACAAGTTGCGATTCTCAGAAGACGGCAGCTGAGAAGTCTCTGCCCGTTACGTCGCAGTATCCTCATGTCACTGATACGCATACCAAAACACTGCAAGCTTCCATTACGAAAAGTGACGGTGCATCTTCCCTATCCGTCTCTTCTCTTCCACCTAAGCCGGTAAGTTATGTATAGTTGATCTCCGTTCATTTCCTTTGCTTGGATTTACAGAGTTGTCAATATGCTTACTTATTCGTAGTGGTTGTTGTCGCAGGGAACGAAATACTTGCACTTGCCTTTCACGATCACAATCAGATTTAGGTGTGAAACTGCAGCTGCAAACACACCAGAGGAGTAAGAGAAAAACGAAATAAAATTTGTGCACTGGTGGGATGTTTCCGGAAACCTGATGAGTTTTGTGGTGTGGCATGTTGGTTTGTTTTGTAGGTAATTACATCCAAGAATACTGTGCCAGCGTGGAAACTGCCCCTTGGCCCCTCAAGTAGCGAGAGCAGTGGAAGCAGCAGGAGTTTCACTGGCTTGGCCAAAAAGGAGCAAAGTAGTCTAAGAGAAGCAGGACCAGCAGCGCCAGACTCTGCTCACCAGGCGGTAACTGGTAGCTTGAGAAAGCAGCAGCAGCAGCAAGGAAGTGATGAGGGTAGCAAGAGTAGCGGCAAGCCATCAGCCAGCTCCAAACCTATCCCGGCACCATTGTCCTTGCCATCAACAGCAATCACATCGTCAACGTATTCTTCATCTGTTGTGCCTGCTGTGTCTGCTGTTAACCCGTGCACCGCAAACTCATCTGTATGTGCCACTGTAGTCTCAGCAGCAACGACTGCCCTCTCCCCTCAAGCCTACAGTAAAGATTCCGGAATTGTTACATCACCACACATGTCGACTTCATCGCTGGGCAAATCTGGCGAAGACTTTGTCAAGTTGCGGAGGCGTTCAAGCAGCGGTGACCGTCCGTCTGCATCACAGCCATCAAGTGCTTCTACCCTGTCTCTCCGATCACCGATGTACGCTAAAGCCACCCTGTCTTCATCCGATGCAACAACAGATCAGAAAGTCAATGCATCGTCAGCCCAAGATCATTCATTCCCCACCACTCATACTGGGGATGCGAAGAAAGCCCCACACAATCCCAGTCCTGCAGACGAAGTATTAGCTGCTAATCTCAAGCCACTTTGGACTCCTAAAGCTGCCATGGCGTCGTTCCAAGGTGAACACACTTGTTGTTAGTTGAACAAAGGACTATGCTTGGTTTCGCAGAATTCCTGATTCTCTTTGGAGAAGATATTATGATGGAACGTCTTGGTGCATTGTTGAATGTTGTGCATAGTAGTAGGCGTCAATCTCCTGGTCAACCTGTGCATGAGGTGAGCGGGTCTCTATTGTATTGCTACAGTTGTGTGTGCGTGTGTAGTGGAGAAGCTGGTCCACCTTTTAAGGGGGTGCATGGCAGAAATATTTGTTAATTAAGAAGTTGGAGTACTACCAGTAGGTTTGTAGTTAGGGCGGTACGGACGGAAAGACTAATACACAGGAGCGCGTGCGCTAGCACACACACGCACACACGCATGAGCACACACATTTACTCAGGAAGGATTCTCTTTGACCAGGTATTTGAAAGTCTCCTGTCTCCTCTTCTGTGCTACAACAGGTCAGTCTTCTGGTGGAGGCTTGGCAGCTTCAGGTGGAAGCATGTCGTCTTTCACTGTACCCCAATTTGAGGACATCAGCAGCCCAGACAGCACTGCAGATGATGAGCTGATGATCGATGAGGATGCAAACATTGCAAGTGTAGAAGGCAATGATGATGTGGAATAGAGAGAGAGAGGGAAATTCACATCCATAAACCGTAGTGCCGTCAAAACATTTTGAGTGCTGACTACCAACGCCCAGTTTCGGAGCTTCCGGAGTCCTGTTAACGCTGAATCTAGAAATCCACATCCATCAATCGTAATGCCGTCAAAATATTCTGAGTGCTGACTAACAAAGCCCAGTTTTGGAGCTGCTCGAGTCCTGTTTTTTGCTGGATGTAAGTGGAAACATTCTGAGTGCTGACCAACAATACCCAGTTTTGGAGCTGCTGGAGTCCTGTTAGCGCTGAATCTAAGTGGAAACATTCTGATTGCTGACGAACAAGGGGCAGTGTTTGAGCTGCTGGAGTCCTGGTATTGCTGAATTTAGAAATCCACATCCATCAACCGTAACACCGTCGAAACATTCTGAGTGCTGGCTACCGATGCCCAGTTTTGGAGCTGCCGGAGTCATGTTAGCGCTGACTTTAGAAATCCACATCCATCAACCGTAATGCCGTCGAAACATTCTGAGTGCTGGCTACCGATGCCCAGTTTTGGAGCTGCCGGAGTCCTGTTAGAGCTGAATTTAACCCACCAAAGTTGCGTCGATACCTGTCGGCGCTGAAATTAACCGCCACGGCAGCCATGTGGTGTGGACGGCTACACACGCTGCCCCACTGTCTGCTACTGTACATGTAGAAGTTGTGTATATATGTGAAGAACTGTAACCACCTTGTAAGATAAAGAAACACCCAATGACAGTGGATAATAGTCTCCTGATCGAAACATGTCATGTTCCAGTGACTGGTGTGTTCTTGAGTCCTGTGTCTGCATTTTAACCTGTCTACAATTCACTTGACGTGGCATGTGTTCTTTCCTTGATCAGCTTCGATTCATGTACAAAATTCATCCCTACGTTCGCCACTATCCAACTAACGAGAACATTGCTATTTTGCGGAACAGCTTGTCTACGTGTCTTAGCTATGCGTGTGTATGTGTCTGTGTCATTTTGGATGTTGTTCATTTGTTCCTTGGTCTTACGCATGTATTCGTATTTGAGGTCGCTTTAGTGGCCGTACATCGATTGAAATTTTTGTCAAAACAACTTGTCTGAAGCCAACTCGTGCTTGTGCTTATTTTGAGTCCTTGGTAAGGCTATGTCCCGCCCTTTTTTTCCGTTCCTGCTTCTTTTCCATGGCTGCTTTTATGATCCCTCAGCTCATTTAACCTTTCTGACCTTCATTAATTGCTGACCATTCTCCTGTTGCGGGCAACAGGAGATTAGCGTTGTAGTTCTCCCTGCACGTGTGACTCAATGTCCGTGAGTGTCAATATTCCGAGTGTTGGATAATAATTGGCTATCAGTCCGTGTCTGGTGTGTAGAGTGTTAGAGTGTTAGGGTCTATTTCGAAGTAAGTACTTGAAGTAGTTGTTTTAAACTAACTTACATCTGCAAATGTTTTGTGGTGCAAGCACCTCTAGCTCTGTGTGTGTGTGTGTGTTCGTGTGCGTGTGTGTGGCGTTTGTGTGTGTGTGTGTGTGTGTGTGTGTGTGTGTGTGTGTGTGTGTGTGTGTGCGTGTGCGCGCGCGCGTGTACGTGTGTGGCGTTTTTGTGTGTGTGTGCCAGCTAGTTCGGTTGGTGGGTACACTTATGCCAGATAGTGTTGGGTCTGTTGCCAACGGGCTGGGCTGCTTGACGGTGTAATGTTGTACCTGCCACCTTCGTTGGTTTCAGGGTTCTTACTTTCATACTTTCAATTTGAAGTATACATCATACCTGTGTTAACCATGGACTACTTCCGGCTAGAGTAACTCTTGTGTAAACAATGGTGCTAGTGAAGCTTATAATAATTATTATTATCAGATCTCGAAAGAAAGGGTGTCAGCACCGACGCAATCCACTCATTCAAGTAAGCCCATTTGGTAACCGAACGTTTTCGTTCCCTTCTCATCATGGGTAAGTACAGGGAATAATGAGTCGGCAAGGCAAAGAGGTGCAGAGCTGTTAATAAAGCAATGCCAGGGACACCGACTCGAAGAGTTACTCGCAGCCAGGTGAGGATGCGTACTGGAGGAGACGAGCAGCCCATTGTACTTCGAAGTAGTATTATATTCACCATCATGCATGGTAGTATTATTATTACTTAGTTATGATGTACAATGTAGGTCTAGGAGGTGACTTCTTAGAATTCACTGCATTAAATGTAGCAGCACATTTCCACGTTTTGTTGCATACTAAAATGTGTAAGTACAATCTTATCACCATTGTACATGTATACGACCTCTGAATCAACTTCCATTATAGCCTTAAAAAAAAGTAAATTATCGTGTCCGTTCCCGAAGGGAACTCACGACGGCCGCTAACACCCGGTAAACCCTAGCGGCAGATGCAGCGCCTAACGGTGGGGGTGAGTGGATAAGTCTCACAAAACCGGCACAGAGGAGAATGTCTTCTTCATTCAGGACTGGTCTAAAGAATATATCAATAGGAAGTTTCAACGTTAGAGGTATTTCTAGTCAGGTGAAGCGGGAGCAGCTTGCTCGGGATATCGCGAGGTACCGAGTCGATGTTTGTTGTCTTCAAGAAACGAAAATAGTAAATTCTTTTGATGAAACGCTGGGCAACGGAACGAGAATCATCTGCCTGCCGTCAGAGTGCAGGCATTACGGTATGGGCTTTGCCGTTAGAGGCGCCCTCAAGGACTGTATGAGCCGGTATTGGCGAATTTCTGACAGAGCGGCCGGTATTCAATTCAAATTTCCCAATAGCAAAAAATCATCGTTGACGGTCATCAACGCCTACGGTCCAACAACAGAACGGCTGCGGGCAAGCCCGGATGAACAAAGTGAGTTCTTTGACAGTTTGGCGAACGCCGTGACTGACTACGCTTCCAGTGGATTATTGTTCGTAGCTGGTGACTTCAACTCGAAGCTAGGGATACGCAAAAGTGGCGAGTCCTTTCTTGGACGCCATGGCCGCGGTCAACGAAACTTGAGTGGTGGAGTTTTTGCTAGTTTCCTTGAAGCTCACAACCTGTTCGCTGGCAACACAGCATTTCAGCACAGCGCTAGACATAAAACAACGTGGCAAGGCCCTTGCCGTGACAATTCCGGTGTTCCTGTTTACAATATGATAGATTACATCTGCTGCCGTCAGAACCAGAGTCCCCTTCTAACAGACGCAAGGTCGTATGCGGGAACATATGTATTCTCCGACCATCGCCTAGTTGTGGCGAGACTGGACATGTCGAGATTCTATGGTGTTCTGGGTAATCACCAACGCAAGACCACTGCCGGCAACATCCGCCCTGACACTGGAAAGCTTGCTTCAGATGTCGCAATTCGGGAATCCTACAAGAGAACTGTGGAGACCCAGGTCCAGTGCAGCGTGTCATCAGAAGCCAACAGCACCCAAGCAGTCTGGGAATCCTTATCTGAAGTCCTCAGCAAATCAGCACTGGATTCGGCCGGCACTCAGCAGAGACAACATCACCGCCATGACTTCTCCCCTGAAATTGAGTTGCTGTCACGCAAGCAGAAAGATCTTCGCCTGGCGATTGGAGAGTGCAGGGATGACCAGAAAAGACAGTCACTAAAAAATCAAAGAAATCGCACAATGCATGAAATTCGTGATATCGCATCTGACAATGCCAAGAGAGCCTTGGATCGTCAAGCAGAGGAAGTGGAGCGACTGCATGATAGTGGGGCAAAGATGTTCCGTGCTGTCCAGCTACTGAAGCGAAAACCGTACAGCCAGCCTATTATTCATGATGAGAAGCAGCGGGTCGTTATCAACCCTGCAGACCAGCAGGCGTTCATCATCAAACATTATGAAAGCCAATTCCATGATAAATCCCTCCCTGACATTCCACAATTCCTAGGTGATCCCAGCCCTCTCCCCAATCGAATCACATCGGCCGAAGTTAGGAGGGCCTTCCAAAGCCTGAATAACGGGAGAGCGGCAGGCCCTGACCATCTCTCCGGAGAGTTACTCAAGTACAGTCCTCCCATTGTCGCTGAGATGACTTCCGACATCTTGAACCGAGCTATTGAGACACATGACCCACTCGAAGTTGGCAGAGGAACCCTAATACTGCTGCAGAAGCCCGGTAAACCACTAGGGCCGCTTACTAGTACGCGCCCTATCGTACTGCTCTCGGCGTTGAGAAAGACGCTGTCCCTGATTGTGCTGAAGAGGATACAGCCAGCGGTTGATCAGTACCTGGCTACATCCCAAAGTGCTTTTCGTCGTGGCCGCAGCACAAGTGATGTGGTGTGGTGCCATAGATGGCTATGTAGTATGACGCAGCGATTCAATACGTCCATCCACATATTGGGAATTGACATGAGTAAAGCATTCGACACTGTCCGCCGCGATGTCCTGATGAGGATCCTTGAATCCTTCCTCCAAGAAAGTGAGCTTCGAATGATCCGTATACTGTTGACTGAAACCTGGCTTGAACCTCGTGTGAAAGGTGCATCGAAAAGCTCCTTCAAGACGAATATCGGAGTCCCTCAAGGGGACAGTCTCTCTCCAGTGCTTTTCACCATTTACCTGGAGGCTGCTCTCCGGGACCTACGACAGGAGCTGCCATCTCGCCCTGCTGTGGACAATGACCTGCCGTTGGATATCGCATACGCGGACGATGTTGATTTTGTGAGCCGGGATGAGACGTTTCTCAGTGAAGTTGAACAACAAGCTCCAGCAGTTCTTGCGAGATGGAACCTGAACGTTAATCCCTCCAAGACAGAGCATACCACCGTCGCCCGATTTCCCGATAGGAACCAAGAAACGTGGCGTACTGTCCGCAAACTAGGCTCCCTCCTGGGTGACGCCGAAGATGCTGCTCGGAGGCGTCAACTGGCCGCCGCCGCCTTCAACTCACTCCTCAAGATCTGGACCCGGAGGCGCCAGATCAGTGAAGGTCTTCGGCTGAGGCTCTACAGCGCCTACGTCATCCCAGTCCTTACCTACAACTGCGGCACTTGGGGCCTACCGATGTCGGAGCTCGCGCGAATGGATTCGTTCCACAGGACCCAGCTAAGGAGCATCATCGACATGCGGTACCCTAAACGAATTAGCAATGACACTCTGTATAAGCGCTGCGGAGCTGTCCCCATCAGCGAGACGATCACAAGGCAGCGCTACAGTCTCGCTGGCCATATCTTTCGTTTGGCCCCAACTGCTCCTCCACAGTTGGCAGTGGATATGTATCTTCGCCTGGCCAACGACGAGGGCACTGAACGCTTCAGGGGTCGACCTCGGACGACTTTGGTAACGGTCTTGCAGACGGAACTGTTATCATGGCATGGACTTACCCTCCACCAGCCGCTAGATGTTGACACAGTCCGCACAATGGCAGCGGACCGACAGGCATGGCGTGGAGCCCGCCCCACCTAACAGGACTGACCAGACATGTTGTATGCATATTCTATTTTATTTTATACTTTGGATGAAGTTTTCCATTAGTCATATTGGTGTTGTTGCTAACGGCTTTTGTTGACGTCACTTCTGTCATTTTATTGTATCGTATTACTCTTCAGACATCAATCCTGAATGGCATAAGCGAAAGTGGCACCCCCGCCACCTACGCGGACATGCTTTTAATAATAATAATAAAACCGGCACAAGTGCCGAGAACGGCTGCATCCATGTACCCCTTGTGCCTGGCCACAAGTTCCCAGTTGACTGTGGCTGTCCCCCAGTGTGGGTAGCAAGCAGCACGGCTGGAAAAACCGCTCCCAGGCAGGACTTGAACCAGGTACATGTACCTCTCGTATCTCAATCATGGTCTTTGACCAACCCACTGTGCTTGCCTGGTGTTCAGCTTATGTATTTAGAATCAACCAGTAAGAACTCCTACTCAATCTCCAGCAACAAAATTAGTGGACAGCTGTTATTTGTGTTGCTATGACAACTCGCGTGCTGGACGAGTATTTATTGTCATTGGTTCAATTTCTTTTACTCTTCATAGGCTACCGGTATCAGATCATTTTCCTTATTCGGTCTATTTATAACCAGTATCTACAGTTGTCTAAAGTCCCTAGTATATATAGGCTGCTTACAGTGCTCAATGTCCGTCCACTGGACAGAACAATACAAATATTACACAGCAATGAATCAAACAAGTCTCATTCCGCTGTTGCTCCGAGTTTCGTGTCAGAACACTTCATCAGACAGCATATGACCAAGCCAAACAATCACTAGAATATATACGGAGAAGGGGAGAAGGGGGCAAAGGTGATGGAGGTACATTTCAATACCTTCGGGGGGGGGGGGGGGGGGGCAGTTTTTGGTCTTTTGTTGTTGATTTTTATTTTGCTTCGCAAGGCCAAACGGGCAATGGTGCCCAA